CTCTCTCTCTCTCTCTCTCTCACTCTCATGTCTGAGAGAGGAGGGACAGCTATGCCACCTGTCCTACATAAACTCTGAGTTCCATAATTTTACGATCCTTCTCATGCTGTGGCTTCCACTGTGTCATCTGATGAGGAATTCTGGCACTGGGAAGTGATACAAGATGCTGTCATTAAACAATCTCTCTCTGAACCAGGGGTCCTGTGATGGTGTTAACATACGTGTGTACTGTATAACTGCTTCAGGCCTGCTCTTTGATTTGCAAATAGGATAATATCTTAGACCTTCGAAGCTTCTTAGACCTGTCACAAAGCAATTAACAGGATGTGCCCCCTGATCTGCATTCTCTCAGAGACCCAGGACATCGGCCAGGAGGTGCTGTTCCTTCTAAGAGTTCCTTCTCCATTAAATCCAGGAGGCTAGGTACCTGCCTCACAGGGTGGGAGGAGGCATGCAGGCACAGCCCTCCAGCCTGCCTCCCACGAAGACAGGAATGAAGAATGAAAGTTAACATTAATGGGAGCGTTATGTAGATCACTAGACCACAGACTCAAAGAACCATGGGCACAGCTAAAAAAAACCTGCCCATCCCAGTCAGGAAAACCCACTGGAGTATCCTAAAGGGGACTTCACCCAGCCTGTTGGGACATTTCTAGTATCAGAGAATTAACCACTTTAAGCAGCATCGTACCTTGAATAGCTCTGAGAGCTCTTCACCACGCAGTTACAGAGCCCCTGTTCCACCTCAGGCCCTATGCTGGGAGCCTAGAGTACAGACAAATCAGAAACAACCATTCCCTTGGGGAATTCTCGGTCCAGTAAGGGAGACAAACATGTAAAGATAGTTGTGATTCACTGAGTGGGAGGGATCAACTCTATGAGGGAAGGGTGGTCCTCTGGAAGGCTGTATGGAAAAGAAAACATTTAATATGGGTCTTGAGATGTGAATGTCACTTTCTCAGAAAGGACAACCCAAGCAAAAATGGGCAGCATGTTTAAAGGCTCTGAAACCTGAAAGTATATGGCCAAATCTGGGAATTAGAACTGATTAGGTAGGGCTGAAGATCATGGTGATGGAAGTTGGAAACATTGATTCAAGTGCCTATTATGTGTCAGGCACTAGGTTAAACCCTGTGAATATAGCAGGAATAAAGCAGAAGTTCTTGTATGTATGGAGTTCAGATTCTAGTTGGCTGGTGGGGGTGAGAGGAAGACAATAAACATATAATATATCAGACTTTGATAAGGGCTATGAAGAGATAGGAGACAGAGTGTTGAGGATTGATATGTTATATAGGATTGTTAGGGAAGGCCTCTCTGATAGGGGATTTTTGAACAGATACCCAAGTGAATTGGAAGAGAGAGCTTGAGGATATCCAGGGGGAAAGTATTTGAGGCAGAGACAGCAGCAGGTAAAAGATCCTGAGGTGTTCGAAATGTTCAAGGAAACAATAAAGAGGCCAGTGTGGCTGAAGGAGAGTAAGCAGGGGTGGTGGGGAGAATGGTAAGAGGTGGGATTAGGGAGTGGCAGGGCCAGATCATGTAGAGCCTTGTAAAGCAACACTACTCAAAATATGGTCCAAGGCAAGGGCCTGCCTGCAAATTGTTTATTACTGTACTATGAGGAGGTAAGTAAAAAAGTCAAGAATAAATATTTTAAAACTTAATAAAATTTCACCTTGCAGCAACATTTCTATTGTATTTTAAAAAGTATAATCTGCAATGAATTGGTACTTTAAAACTGAAATTGGTCCCATGCCACGGAGAATTTGAGAAGCAATGTAAATATGGAGCATAGTAATGACTTAGTAAGTGTAGGAGCCGTCTCTCTCCTCTGACCTTAAAGGGAAAGTTTTTAGTATTTCACTATTGAGTATGTTATGTTCATTGGTTGTTTTTTTAAAGTTGATTTTTAGAGAGAAAGGGAGGGAGAGAAAGAAACTACAATGTGAGAGTGAAATATGGATTGGCTGACTCCCCCACGCCTCCTACCAGAGATCAAGCCCACAGCCCTGGCAAATGCACTGACATGGAATGAACCAGCAACCTTTCTGTGCACAGGACAGGGCCCAACTAATTGAGCCACACCAACCTGGGTATGTTCATTGGTTTTTAAGCAGGGACAAATGGCATGGTTGTGTGCAGTGGGAATAATCCAGTAGAGAAGGAAAACTTGATGATTCAGGAGAAAGAAGAGAATTATGCTGGAGAACTGTTCTTGGAGTAGATAAAAGTGCCTGGTACCTAATTCACTAGTGGAGGGCTTAGCCTTAGTGGAAAGCAGAGAAACAATCACTTTACAGTCCGATATAGAGGGCAGGGTGTCTGGGCAGAAATGTTGGTAGGTACTTGTGGTAGCAGGAGTCTGTGGAACTATGAAATTGAAGCTCTAAATACAGATCTTTGAATGGCAGGCACCTTCTCATTGTTCAGGATTCAACTCAAATGTCACCTTATATGAAGGAGCCCCTCATGCCTCATCCTTTCCTTCGCAGCATTGATCTCAAATGGAAATCATCTTCTTTATATCTGTTTTTGTTTGTTTAGTCCTGTGTTGAAACCTCCAGGAGAGCAACAATTGTGTCAAGCTTATTCAATTCTGAATCTTCAGTCCCTAAAACAGTGCCTGGCACATGGCAGGTGCTCCATAGTCTTTATTAAATAATTGATTGAATGAAGGAGAAGAGTGGGCTGAGGGCTTTATTGCTGCCATGAGCTGAGAAAACACTGATGTACTTCACTAAAGTCAAATAAAAACATTTGCCTAACTGAGGTTGGACACCATAATGTACGTGTCACCGTTCCAGTGATCTGATAGTGCACAGCACCTTAGGGGGCAGCATTCATTCAAAATTGGGGGTGGGTGCACAGGGCAGCCCAAGTGAGGCCCAAAGATTGGGCAAGTTGTACTGATAGGGGCACAGCTGAAAAATGTGCCCTAGACAGGGAAGGAAGTGGCAGATGAACAAAGAGAAGCACAGGATCCACTTCCACATGGTACAATGAAGTCTGATATTGGGTGTGGTGCAACAAATTTTATACTGCAAGCATAGAATTGGAGGTCATTGGACTTCTTTTTCTGAGCCAAAATCAGTCTCCTTATAGCTTCCTCTTTTGTTCCTCTTCCGTCATCTGGAACTACCCAGATGTCAGTTCATTTCCTCAAAAACCCTTGTACCCTGAGTCGAGAGTTTTTGTTCCCTCCCATGGAGTCTTCTTTTCCCCAACATAACAACACAACCCCCCTGCCACTTCTTCTAATGCTCAGAGCCCCCTCATTCTCCAGAACATGGGGGGCTCCTTATGAGCTACTTAGAATTACCAGGAGTAAAAGAAATTTGAACAATGTCTTGGATATTTGAATATTCTAAAAATTTCCTAGTTTTCTTTTTTAGTATGGTGTAGTGTATGATAGGTGTGACATTGTGGTTATGTATAAGAAAGACTGCTTGATAAAGACATCCAAGAAAAGAAAATTTCAGTCCAATATCTCTCATGAATGCGGATGCAGTTACCCTCAACTAAATGCTAGAAATTGACTCCAGCAATATATAAGAAGAGTTATACACCACGACCAACTGGGATTTATCCCAGGAATGAAGAGCTGGTTCATATGTATATACTTACAATGAACATCTTGAAAATGAAATTTAAAAATTCCATTTGCAATAACATCTAAAAGAATAAAATACTTAGGAGTAAGTATAACAAAAGAAGAACAAACTTACACTTTTAAAACTGAAAAATGTTGTTGAAAAATTTAAGGATGATCCAAATACATGGAATAACATTCCATGTTTTTGGATCTTAATATGGTTAAGATGTCAATTCTCTCCTAATTGATCTACAGATTCAATAACATTTTTATAAGAATCTAACCTGACTTTATGTATAAATTGGCATGATGATTCTAAAGTTCATGTGGATTTCAACAGATGCTAGATAGACAAAGCAAGCTCATAAAAGGAGAACAAAGTTGGAGCACTCACACTATCTGACGTCAGAAGTTATTGTGGGGCAACAGCAATGAAGACAGTGCTGACGCACTCTCCTTGGGCCATGCCCACTCAAATCTGCTTTTCGAATGTATTTTCTTTCTCCTAAACTCTAAGGTCCCCATGAG